TTTATGAAAGGTCTTCTACTGTTTGCAATCCATAACTATATAGAGATTTTTTTTTTTTTTTTTTAGAGGGAGGAAATGATGATGATGATGAAATAAATTAAAGCAAATAACAAATAAGTAAAAATAATGAAAACAAAAACAAGAAACATTCAACACTAATACTTTGTGTTTTTATTTTGCATCAATTTAATCTCAACATTATAATCAAGGGAGGTAACAGTTAGCAAAAATATTGCTAGGGTTTCATTTCAAATTTAAAATCTAAAAGATTTGATATCAAAGGCTTATAAGGAAAAATTATTACAAGGCAGTTCCTATTAAAAAAAAAAAAAAAACATTATTGTAGTTATTGTAAAATTTGTAATGACCTATACATTTGTTAGCAACTAATTAACTGAGAATATCTGGCTCTATCTGCGATTGGTACAGTTATTATAAAAAGATTAAAAACGTCTAGGTTACTACTTAGTGCAATGGTTCCCAAATGGTGTGGTGCACCTCATAGGTGAGGCAGAAGAGGATAGCAGGGGTAGGTTGAATGATTGAAAGACAATCAAAGTTTTAGAAACAGTTTCAATAAATTCATATGTCAAAAATAAATATGATTTCAGAATTTAAAATATTATTATGGATTATTTATAATTGCAAGCATGAGTCCCAGAATAAATAGTTATAAATAATTATTGACCAATTTTATCTTTGAGATATTTCTGCATTATATCAAAAGTATTAAGACTATAATAACTAGTGTCTGCAAATTGGAGGAGAGAGTTATCAATGATAATGTTCTGACTTTGAATCCACAGTTATCTCACTTTAACCCACCCTCCTCTTTTTTTTTTGGGGGGGGGGGGTAATTATTTTTAAATGTACTTTTTTGAGAGATGCATGCTAATGCACATTCCAAAAAAGTGGCCCAGAGAAAAATGTTTGGGAACCACCAGCTTAGTGGATGGGTTTCTTCAAAAAATCTTACTTACATAAAATAAGTATTTTGAATTGGTTGAAACTTTAAAAAGGTGCAACCATTTCCATTTAACAGCACACATTATCACAAAGATTACTGAAATGTTCGCAGACTAACCATTTGTCATAATCCAACCAAAAATTAGAATTTAGGAGAAATTCCTTCTTGATCAAGTTTTTCAGCATCCCCGTATATGCATATCAATTAATAAGTATATTATATACTTATGCATATCAATTAATAAGTATATTATATACTTACTTATGAACACTGGTTTTATTTTCTGATACAGAAAACAGGGAGAATATAATGGACAATGGTATTCTTGTCCTTCCTGATTCGTTTTTTATGGCTTATCAACCCTATGCAGCTTATTTAAAGCAAGAAAATATTTTTAGATTAAGAATTTCTGAGATAATAATGGTTTAGTCACACAAGTCCTACTAATTAACCCATAGCTAGGGGGAAAAAGATGGATTCATACTATTCCCTAAGGGTATTTGCACATAAGTGAATGTAATGAACCCAATGGGAATTGGAACTCATCCCTCCGATTAACAATTCCAAGCCATTATCCATTATACTACCTGCACATCCAAGCTTATAGCACCTAGTATTTCCAAGTAGTCAACCATCTAGATAATAACCAGGCTTGACATTGCTTAACCAGTGATTGTACAGAAATCAGTGTTTCAATGTGATCTTACTTATTATAAAATGCAGTGTGTGTGTGTGTGTGTGTGTGTGTGTGTGTGTGTGCCTGTTTCATTTATATATTGGATCGGATTTCCCACATTTTTCAAACGATTTCAACAAAACTTCACAGGACTGCGTAAAATTACCTTGCAGTGATTCTGAACTTTTTTTTTGGCAGGTAGTGTTTCTTATTCTCTTGCACACTTTTTTCTTTATTTTTACATTCAGAATGCTTTAAAAATTCCATTTACAAGACAATTGCTTATAATAAGATTCTATTCAATCGATAGACTCATAACGATTGAAAACAATGTTTTTGTTTGAGTTTGACCAATTCATAAAAAAAAAAAACAAAAAAAAAACTAATTAAGACATGCGTGTCCGTCAACCTTAAACAATAATCTTTGTCAATTTTATTTTTCAGTCTTTATGATGGTTGATACTTGATCTATCTCTTACTGTTATATCCCCAGGCAACGCCGGGCTCTACTGCTAGTGTGGCCATAAGCCTCTTATACTTAAGAAAATTTTATTAGAGAAATGACAAAAGTAACTAACTATAAATCATATTTGATTAACTGATTTGAGTGGTTGGCATTTTAATTAGTATTTCAGTTTTCACATTACCATCAGACTACGGCATTGCAAATTTAAAAAAAAAAATTAACAGAATTAAAGAATATGATAAAAGACATGGATTTCATGCCTTTGATAATGCTTAAAAAAAATAAAAAAAGAATATACATGCTGTAATAATCTCCATTATAAATGGCACAGCACTACATTGCATATTTTCATGTTGGCTTAACATCAAGAAACCAAACATCAGAGAATTCCCTGAACCTCTTATCTAAATGCAAGGGAGGCATACCATCTGCAGGAAAAGTTGCAATTCCCTCAAATGCTTATATTGGAATCCCATCAATTTTCAAGCAAGATCCTTCAGAAGGATTAATCAAAAATAAGTAATTCTTAATCAAGAATTTGACATTCAAGACTTCAGATTCTATTTAAACTTATATCCAAATATTTAATTATTACAGTATTCTGAACAAAAAGGATTTTTCAGAATAAGAAGAAAAGTTGGATCCTAATTAGTGATTTTTTGTAATTAATAAATTTCGCTTGAAATAAATGCAAATGCAAAGTCTATTTCCAGCCCAAGTGGAGGCAAGACAATCACTTAATAGATAAAAGTATTTGAGTGCCTCACATGAAAGGCTTGGACAAGTAAGACTGCAATCTAAAAAATGTAGGAGTAAAGGTACTAGTCAATTAAACAATTCATTTTGTTCAGAAAGTAATTTTTGCCTAAATCCAGATAAATATTTTATTTGTATAGATTATTAAAAGGACTAAGGGAAGTAATCATGCAAATTTACTAACTTAAGCTGATTTACCCCACCTTTTCACTATAGATGGGACAGGAAATTTATAAATAAATACACATTGATAATTATTATATGGTTGATAGTTATTTTTGCAAACTTAATCTAAAGTCACTGGAGACTTCCATCTTATTCCCAGTAGCAAAAACTGGATCAGTCAAAGTTCTTTCAATTTATGGATTTTGAAATGCAAATTATTTATAATAATTATCAATGTGCATTTATTTTTAGAATTTCATGAAGATTCTAATTCTCTCATTTTATAAGCAAAAATAAAATAAAATAAGACAAAAATACAAAAAATTAAATTGTTATTTTAAAAGATAAAGATGAATTTTCAAAAAATAAAAAGCATTAATCATATTCATCAGAGTTAATATATTGCTGTAATTGTAGTATGTGTAATCCTTTTTCACATAATCTAATTCTTGAAGAAGTTATCTTTGGTAAGTATAAATAAAACTATTTTTCAATGAATTATTTGGACTACAATCCTCACTTTTGTTATTTGGATTATGATGTTTCAATAGGTATGTACTCCCAACAGGCACTTTGCATCCAATAATCATCAATCCACCTCCTCACTAAGCCTGAAGAATTTGTCACTTGACCAATGAGTAAATGAAAAATAAAAAATTGACAACAACCAGACACGAAATACATCCGAGGAAGTAAAGAGAGCCCACAAGCCAAAATGTGGTGATGAAATCAACAAAGGTAAGGATTCTAGTCGCAATATTACTAAGAATAATGGCATCACTTCAGAGCTTCAGATTGTCAACATTTATTTATAGTTGTTTACTAAGCATAGCTAAGTCTGGTATAAGGCAACAATAATGTGGCAATAATCAGTATTAAACTTATAACACTAACAAGCTACTCCATTGAATAAACTTGCTAATCAATATGCCATAGTAGGCATCTTAAATGTGTAATTTATATAGTCATTCAAAATCCATAAATTGAAAGAACTTTGACTGATCCAGTTTTTGCTACTGGGAATAAGATGGAAGTCTCCAGTGACTTTAGATTAAGTTTGCAAAAATAACTATCAACCATATAATAATTATCAATGTGTATTTATTTATAAATTTCCTGTCCCATCTATAGTGAAAAGGGGGGTAAATCAGCTTAAGTTAGTAAATTTGCATGATTACTTCCCTTAGTCATTTTAATAATCTATACAAATAAAATATTTATCTGGATTTAGACAAAAATTACTTTCTGAACAAAATGAATTGTTGACTAGTACCTTTACTCCTACATTTTTTAGATTGCAGTCTTACTTGTCCAAGCCTTTCATGTGAGGCACTCAAATACTTTTATCTATTAAGTGATTGTCTTGCCTCCACTTGGGCTGGAAATAGACTTTGTCATTGCCGTTTTTGTGGTTCTGTTGCTAATCTTTTTTCAGAGAGATTTTTACATTCCACTGTTATATTAAACACATAGAATTTTTAACAAGATATTGAACAAAAAGCAATTTATAGCATACCAGCAGTAATCAATGAATCAAAGATACCATTGAATGTCTAAAAATATAAAGGGAAAAGATTAATTAAACATGTCTCTATTTTAGTCATGAATTCTTAAACTCTGCTTTATTGAATCTCAATACATTGTTCCAAGACATTTGTTTCATTGCATCTCACTATTAAAACCTGCTAACAACTACCATCATTTCTGAAGGCAAGAGTACATTAGTTAAATATATGAATGTCTTGAATGTTCACAGCAACTCAATCTCTCACCTGCCCCAATGTCAAGTGGTCATAATATAGCAGCTCATGTTCAACAAATCAGGTACTTGTGTTATCAGAGACGAGCCTTTATGCAGTCTTCAATTCCTTATCTCTACATATATATTCCCTTCAACAGAGAATATAATATTTTTAAGAATAAAGCAAAGATGATATGAAGCAAAGTTAAAAGCAATTACTTGTACTCACATTTTCAACGGGGCCATGATTTTTATTCTCAAACATGTGTTCTGTGTTCTGTATGATAAGTTTGATCAGGTGGAAATTGGTTTCAATGCAATTACGAACTTTGCTAAGATGATCCCGGAAGTTAGGGATAATGGTCCGATGATGATCCGGTAGTTCGTCATAGTAACGTTCCGTGTTCCGAATCCGATTAAGAGAATAAAGTCTGAAATAAAAAAACAAAAAGTAGTTATGAAAAACAAACCAGAGACTTTACATGCAAGGGAAAGACTTGAGAGTATTCTCATTAGAGGAGACATGTTATTGCAGGTAACTTTTGTCTTGTTTTTTAATTTAAGCTACAATGGGTAGATATGATCATCTGGCAGTAGCAAAATTTAGGTCAATTTGTAATAGAAACTGTGATAGCAAGATGGAGTTTTACTGGGAGTTATTTCTTTATTTCTGAGACACAACTGTATTTAATAGCTGAGGACAGACAGTCTGGGTAGTTATGAAGGAAAGCAACTGAAATTAAGATAAAAGAAATAATAATAAAATAATTGACAAAGCATCATCCAATAAATTTCAAGATTATTTACACTAGCAGTAGTAATCTATCTATAAAAGGCAGGATGTGTGTGTGTGTGTGTGTAACGAATGCACGGCCACAATTTTCGACGTATTTGCACCAAAATTTAAATGCACATGCTCCAAGTGGGAAGGCAAAGACCAACTTTGCATTTCCCAACTCCCATCGATAGTGGAAATAATCGATTTTTTCATGCTTCTACGGTAGTTTTCATGTAGTTTGCGGCCATTTTCTACTGGCAGGAAGATTCTATTGGCCAATGCGAGAGCCAAAAGCTGACTGACACGTTACCTAGCATGCAAAAAAAAAATCGATAGCTGCATTCGTCACAAGTGGGAAAAATTTAAATCTGCATGGCACTTTACTCCAATTGGCTCATTCACTTGCTTAAACTCAACGTTCATTCTGATTCAGCAGAACTGAGTGAACGGTGTGAAAAAGTATGTTGTTGTTAACATTCTTTTTTCACTTACACACTAATACCCTTAAGAAAGGTATGAATCCTATTCTTCTCCACCCATCTTATGGGTAAATAGCAGGACAGACAGGGTTCTATAGCCTTGGATGGAAATTGGTCTACCACAGAAAGAAATGGCAACCTACTGCAGAAAAAAATCTGCCTTGTCAGTCATGTATCAAAAGATACATGATTGCCTAAGCATGTATCATGCATGACACATAACTGACTGACTAATCTCAAAACAACAAAATCTCCTCTAAGGTTCAGATGAGATTTAAACTCAACTCCCATGCCATTAACAGGACTGCTATGTGAGAAAAGAATATTCAGTTTGCATTCCTCTCCCCATGATGGGCATTATTTTTTCCATGATATAATAATACCTTAATATATAGACAGAACAGAATAGCTAAAAGAAAAGGAATGACAAACATGCTCTGTTATCAGAGAGAGTTTTATACTGCTAAGTCATACACAAAATTATATACACATATTTACACGTCCCACACAGAAACTATAACAGACGTATACCACACAAGCAGTGCAAAAATAGCAAAGAGCGAGAGGATCGTGTAAGTAATTTGAGCTGCCAGAAGATTCTTCTGTGTTTCTGGAGAAGCCATATTTAGGATTCTCAACAGAGATTCAAGTGGGCAGAATTTATCTTCTATGAGACTTGTGAGTACACACAAACAAGAAACATCAAGTCATGGGTTTTTACCAATATGAGGACTATGAGCCAGAGATAGTTTCTATATTTGGTGAAGATATATTCCCAAAGGAAAATGGTACCACTGGCTTGTAAGCTGCCCATGTGGCAGCTGGCTGGCCCGGATAGATGTTTTGCCTTGCCCGTGCAAGCAAACAACTCATGTCTTGATTCCAAGCAGTTAACTGACAAACTGGCCATTTTTATCACTCTATATAGTGACATCACATGACCCATGTGACTTCATCTCAACCAAAGGAGATGATCACATTTTTTTTTTATCCCTACACCATGATAAAGCTTCCTGATAAAACTGAAATAGCTCAGGTGGTAAAGGCACACATTACACAAAGAAAGCAAGAAATCAATAAATAGAATATAAAGTAGAACTTGTACAGAGAACAATTTTAATTTTCAGGCAAAAAAAATTTCAGTTCTCCTCAATTTTCGAGGTTTATAGAACAGACGATTAAACTAACAACATCTTGTATTTTATGGTGCATAAAACATTTCAGGTTTATAAAAGATTTTAACTAGTCTCCCATCACCAATTCCTTACTTATTAATAAGTTATATATATATATATATATATATATATATATATATATATATATATATATACACTAGTAGTAGACCCGGCGTTGTCGGGGATATAACAATAAGAGATAGATCAAGTATCCACCATCATAAAGACTGAAAAATAAAATTGACAAAGATTATTGTTTAAGGTTGACGGACACGCATGTCTTAATTAGTTTTTTAGTTTTTTTATTTTTTTACTTAATTGGTCAAACCCAAACAAAACATTGTTTTCAATCATTATGAGTCTACTGATTGAATAGAATTTTATTATAAATAATTGTCTTGTAAATGGAATTTTAAAGCATTCTGAATGTTAAAATAAAGAAAAAAGTGTGCAAGAGAATAAGAAAACACTGCCAAAAAAAAAAAAAAAAAAAAAAAAAAAAAAGTGAAGTTTTGTTTTATCGGCTGAAAAATATAGGGAATCCGCTCCCATATTTAAAGTAACCCACACACACAAACAAACCGATGTGAGTTGTCCCCCTTCCATTTTCACGATGTCTCTTAATCATGTTTTTAAATTGATTTTGTGCAAAAACAATATTTTTCCCATTTTTGGTGCTGTTAGAACCACCACAAGGTAATTTTATGTAATCCTGTGAAGTTTTGTTGAAATCGGTTGAAAAATGTAGGAAATCCGATCCAATATATAAACGTTACAGACACACACACACACAATTTGCGTTTTATAATAAGTAAGATATAACCGTTTAAATGTGTCAATATCTGCTAACTCACTTATGTCTTCTCTCCCCCCCGCACTTCCTCAATTTACATATGTTTAATATGGCCTGTAAAAATGTGTAATTTTTTTTTAATTTTTTTGTTTGGAAGTAAAGTCTGATGATCCGCAGTCCTTTTAAAAGGGCTGTGGTGAAATAATTTGTTACATGGGACCTTAAAGTGGTCCATTTTTATTTAAATTATTTGCTCTGGATTTACATTGAGCTCTCCAGATTTTATCCTCCTTAGGTTTACCCATACGGATTACCTAGTTTTTCATAAACTATATACATGTTTCGTCCTCTCATGGACTTTATCAAGGCAAATATAAGGATTTTATTTTGTAAAATGTATTTATTAACAAAAGAAAATGTTAGTTTTTAGAATTTTAAAATTTAAATATGCTCATAAATATTCATCGGGCTAACATGAAAAGCTAAGACAAATTATCAAGGATGTTAAGTCATGTAATTTAATGTCTAATAAACAAAAGTGAGAAAATGTTGAATTTTTTTTTTAATGTAATTATTATTTATATAATTTTACTTGACATTAATTTATGTATTATATATTCTAACTAATAAAAGGTTTAGATTTTAACTGTTTTCTTTAACATTTTATAGTCATGTATGTTAAGGCGTTATTTCTTTCAGGAAAGATGAGATTTGAAAAAATCTGAGGCACAGATTCATATTTTGGTAAGATTCAATAGCGACACTCAAGAATTTTCCATCTAAGTAAAAGTTTTTATAAGTCTGGCATTCTTTAGATCAAAGTTATGGTTGAATTTATTTCTCTGTATGACTAATGCATTTGATAAATTGTTTTCTTTTATCTTTATTCATAGTCCTTTTACAGATGTTTAATTAGTCCATTTCATCTTCTGTAGGTACTGTACTGCTTTTTGTTACTAAATACTAATATATTTTATACCTTCCTTGTTTACTGATATTTTTTTTTTTTTTCATGGCTGGAAGTAAAAATTATTGCTAGCTGTTCTCATATGTAGATTTCAACCTAACAAACCTATTTGTATGGAGATCAATCCCAAACTTAATTTCTGATTTATTTTCTCAGACAAATAATAGAATTAAAACAATTAACCCATAGATTGAATATTCTGAATAAAAAATAAAAATATTTCCTGTCAGAATTATCATAATCCTACATTGGAGTGAATAAAGCCTGAGGGTTTTAGCAAAGATTATCCTTCTTTACAGAATCACAAAGATTGTACAGAATAACAACAACTAAATCACTTGAGGACGACCAACAACAGCAACAACTAAAATGGATAGTACATGCAACTCAAAGAAAAAATAATGACGTAATAAAGATGTTAACATTACATGCTACATCAAATAAAAGTTTGGAAGGAAATCCCCATCAATACTGAAAAGAACAATATCAGCTACTGGACTTTTCCCTAAAAAATTGTTTTAAGAAAAAGATTTTCTAAAATTTCAACCAAAAGCAGTACTGGCTTCTTGGTCAATGAATGTTTCCTTGTAGGGAAATGGCTAATATTACCAGGTTGGCAGCAAGTTAAAATCCCTGCATTAAGCAGTGAATATCATATACTGAAGTTCAATGGAAAAAGTAAAAAACAGCAATAGAAATACAAATCAGGTAAGAAGAATTAATTAATAAGAGATGGACAGCAGATGAAGAACTGTCTACTCTTGTGGGTTAAATAAGGTGTTCAATTTAAAATATTGAGAAAGTTACCAATTATAACACACTTGAAGAAGACATATTGGCCAAAACAATAGGACTATAAACAACAATGAGGAGGAATTGAGACCAAACAGATCAAAGAGTAAAAACTAAAAAAATTTTAAAAAATAAATAAATAAAAATAAAAAAAAATATAAACTTATTCACAAATAAATACAATAATTCAAATATTAAGTGGACCTATGAAAATTGCACAAGTGGTGACAAATAAAACATCATCCCCCATATTTCGATATCTGCAATAATGATAGCAATGACTTGACACCAACTAAAACCCATCCACCAGTAAATTACTGAAGTTTATATTTAAAAGTGAAGAGATTTTTAGAAATAAAATATTCAATATTAAAAATAGAACAATGATAATTAATATATAAATAAATAATTAAAAAAAAAAAAAAAAAAAAAACTTATCTGCCAACT